GTCAGTGGGTTTTCCAAGAATCTGCTGAAGCTCTTCTTTGAGGAGGATGGTGATATCAACCCCGAGCAAGTCATGGAGTCAGCCATCTCTGGTGAAGAGTATCAGAAGCTGGCCATCATGGACTAAATCAACTATCCGGCCATCGTGCGGGAAGCTAGTTTTATTTTCCCTTTTTTAGATTAACAATCTATTACTTCGTACAATACTTGGTAAATGGTAATAATAATTGCATTGCATCTGTTTTGTCTATTTAGCAACAATGAAAGTAAAAAATTATTTAGAAAGGGCAGGCCATATATTGCCATTTGAGCAACCAAGGTACGTGCTTGAAATTTAGAAAATTTGTAGCTGACCATGACTCTGGTTTGCAGCAGCACCTCTGCGTAACTTTGATAGTATGAATCAGAAGATTTAGCTATACTACTTATGACATAAATATCTCATAAAATGTTCAGTTATGGGATGATCTTTTATAGAGTGGTAGATAGTTTTTATTCTTTTAAAAGGACTGGTATTATTTGCATCATCCAACTTTTATAAATGGATGCAAGTTTGTAGCAGTCCAAAAAAAAGATCCTGGAACAAAGTTCATCATACTTGACATTAGGCAATTTAATCACTAGTGATGACCATAAAGTGCCAGAAATAAGTATCTGCCTACCAGATGGAGAAATATAACTTTCCTGATAGAAATGCAGCAAATGATTATTACAAAAATGCTTGAATATGAAGTCTGCACCATAAATAGATTTTGAATAGGAAGAAATTGGGACCACTTGAAGAAATTATAACTAATGATTAGAAGTAAAAATAAACTTCAGCTGCATTTTTAATAAACATAACTCTACTGTCGAAGTGCAGGTGCAATGACAATGAGAAGCCCCCTTTAGCGAAGCATTTCTATAGCCCATTTTAATATGAATCTATATGTGGTGTTATTAGATCAAGATGTATTGCATATTTGAAACCCAATAGGTAACGCATTCTCTTATTGATCTATATATAGTGGATGATTTGAGTTTCACGAAAATGAGTTGGTTGTTGCTTTATTCAAAAAATCGATGGAATTTAATAGATTCCAGAACAATCTTAGAATTATTTAGTTAACATCAAACAGACTAAGCAGTAATAGTAATAGTACATGATACCCTAGTGCACATGCACACCCTTATACACAAGAGAGTCGGGAGAGATTACATCCTAGAGATCTGGAGGGGAACTGCAGTTTCAAGAGCATCATCTCTGAGAGAGACAAGTTGCATCATTTCAAGACTCCCAAGTCTCTTCTTGACTATAAGTCGGCGACAGTTATCCGCAGCCATGACTCCAGCTGAACAGGCACCATGAACAGATCCTTGATGGTCAATACTAACCACTTCACCTCCAAAGAAGATATTCCCCAAGGGAGCTTGAAGCCCGTCATATACATCTGCTGGCTTCCCAACCATATCTCATAAAATGTTCAGTAAGAGAATGCGTTACCTATTGGGTTTCAAATATGCAATACATCTTGATCTAATAACACCACATATAGATTCATATTAAAATGGGCTATAGAAATGCTTCGCTAAAGGGGGCTTCTCATTGTCATTGCACCTGCACTTCGACAGTAGAGTTATGTTTATTAAAAATGCAGCTGAAGTTTATTTTTACTTCTAATCATTAGTTATAATTTCTTCAAAAGGTCCCAATTTCTTCCTATTGAAAATCTATAGTAACTTCCAAGAGAATCCGGGTCCGTACCCCAGCGTGAAAACAGATACTGAACAGGTTCGCTTGCATTTGGAAACATCTTCTTTGCTAGCAGCCTTATCTGGTAGCTAGCTTCTCAAGGTCATTAGCTAAGCTTCCAGCAGCCATATAGACAAGAACTGGATAGCCAAAAAAAAGAACTGGATAGCCAGTGCCTTGTGAAGATTGAGAAAATAACCACAGGCATAAGAAGTTGGTGCAACTATGCCTATGAATTCAACATTTGGCCAGAGGACATTGTCGAACTGCAGCGCGGTCTTGTTTTCATTCCCCATACCAACATCCCCCATGGCAGATACCTTCCATTCAGGCAGTTTTGGTTCAAACTCGATCAAATCTGCTTTGAGAACCCCTAGGGGTACAGTTATTATAGCTGCATCTGCTATGAAATTTCTCCCACACTCAACTGACACCATTACCTTGCTATACCTATTTGCAATCCTTAGAACCATGTGGTTCAAACGTATGTCGATATCTGTAGACAAAGCCTGTATTACGAAGTAACAACCCTGCACCATTAGTCCATGACCACCAGAAAGTACATCCTCCGGAGTCCTGAGTCCTGATCCCAAGTCTTCAGAGATATCAAATTTACATCTGCAGCCAACCATGCTTCCATTCTGCATATGTACCACGCTACCACTGCAGCACTTCGTGGGCAAGTCCATCTTGCCTCAGTTCTGGATATCTATCCAGTACTATTGATATTGCATGCTGCCATGCTGCCCTGACATGTCTTGACTATGTTCATCCCTCACTTTTCAGTCTATTTTAGAATATTTTCGAATGCTTCTACGACCTCAAAAACAGTCTGTTGAGGAACTTGCTTACCATTCATACTAAATAGCATAAAACTCTCCAGATTGAGGTCATACAACACAGAGTCGTCACCATTTGTACGATATAAGCTGAGGCCCAAGTGTCGTATCATTGGAGCCAAAGGATTCTCATTACAAACACCATGCATGTAGCCATGATGCTCCCATGTCAACAGGGCAACCAAATGTGTAGTCAGTGTGAATACGCCCACCAATTCTATTTCTTGAGTCCAACAACACTACCTTGAAAGATGCATTCTGGAGGGTGCGTGCAGTTGCTAATCCTGAGATGCCACCAATCACAATGATGGACGGAGAATAAATATATTGCCTCCCAGTGTGGGAAGTAAATGTGTCGTGTAAGATACTTCTATTTGAGCTGGAATCATCATCTTTGAGATCCATGAAATATTCATACAGGCGTACAGAGATTTAAACAAGATGGATGTGTTTTGTTAGTTGAATTATATACGATCCATGCAAATTGTACGAATAAAAACTAATGTCTGTTTTGCTGTTGGTGGTGGAGGAGTTTGCTTATGGACTATAGGAAGTAGGAAATTGGAGATCAATTGAAATGAATGGTGAATTATGAATACAAGAATGCGGGCATGTATCTGTCCTCTTCCTCACTATATAATAGTATGACATTTTCAGGGCAGAAAAATTCTGAAATGCATTAAGATTGATTTATACATGGTGTTGATCTAGATGTATTGCATATTTACAATCCAATATTCATGTGACTGGTTTTTTTACTTCCCAAAATCTAAAGTAGTACTGAATTTGGTATTGATGTTCATAGGTACAGCACTTTATTCTTCTGGCCAGTAAACTCATGAATCTGCAAACCTTCTAATTCAAATGGTTTGTGTTAATCTTTTTAACAGAAATTTAACCTTTTTAAAGCAAATTGGTAAGACCAGACTAGAACAGAGTCTGTTTTAACATCTTTTTACATGAGTTTTGTATTAGAATCGTAAATTTTATATTTTTCTTTTGCTCATATCATTGGTCACTACATAAAGTGATAAAACATCATATTTTAAATATCGTCTCTGAATATAGCTTCGATGTGTAACAGTGTGAGATTTTTTAATGGCATATCATACGTTGTATAAGTGTGTATTATTTCAAGGTTAACTTTGATTATAAAAGTGCACATGAATGAGTTGATCTGAAGGGATTCTTAGACATTAGGTGGAGATTGGTTTTTGAAAATAAAACTTTAAAAAAAATCATGAACCTAAATACGGAATAGTACATACAAGAATGTGTGTATAATGAATTTCCTGTACTTTTAAGAGCTTTTATTTCTGGAAGTAACTCCTAATATAGCTTCAATTTTCTTTTTGTTATCATTTGTTGTGTTGTTTCCAAAGATTCACTATTTTTGGCTTGAGAATATGATTGAATAAAGCAAAATGACTCACTAAATTGTCTGCGCTTCTTTGTTATGAGCAGCAGTCAGTCCATGCAATTCGCGATTTTCACTATAGATCATCCGGAAACAGTCTCTCTGTGCTTTAGTACATGAGTAAAGTTGCGTACATCTGACTCCCTCCTTACCACACCGTAGGTGGGAGCCTTTAATTCGCGGTACTGGGATAAATGATGATGATGTTGTGTTTTTTCCATTGAAACATTATTTGGTTATTTATTAGATGGAAGTAATAATGGAAAAGGGGACTAGCTAATGAGAATAAGAATGTCTTTACTTGTACTGTAATTTGCTGGTCTGAATTGGTCGGTTTAAGTTTGGTCTGGACTGAAAAGTAACAACTAAGTTTAATTTAATTAGAATTAAGGGTGTGCATTGATGGAAAATGTAACTTGTTGAGTTAAGTCCAAATGTAATTTGCGAATAAAAAGATGTAATTCGCGAGAAGATGTAATTGGCGCATAAAAAGATGTAACTTTCGCATAAGAAAAAATGTAACATTTGCATAAAAGGATGAAATTCGCACGCAAAAAAATGTAAATCACACATAAGAAGATGTAACTTCATATACTATCTAATGTAATTTCAGAAATTTTCTATAAACATAACTCGCACATATTGAAATGTAAACCACACATATGAACAAATTTAACAAATTTAAAAATCAACAAATTTTATATCTTAAAAGGTAAAAAATAATGAATTTTATATCTTTATCAAAATTTTATAAAGATTAGTAAACCCGTAATTAAATATTTACGTTGTATTTTGATGGAGATGGAAAAGAATTGAAGAAAAGAAAAAAGAAAAAATCACAAACCTGGCATGAGTGAAGAGAAAGAAACGTTTTACTCTGCCGAGAAAAACGTACTTCGTATTTATTTAAATTATTTCCTCTTTTTTAGAAGAAAAAAAAAACGTTTTACTTCCTCTTTTGTAGAGCTTTTAGTGTGTTTGGTGTAGATAGAGAGAGTAGCTAGGTAGAATTAATTTGATTGATAATTTGAGCGTGTTTGTCTCGGCGCCATGCCCGAATAGTTAGTGTACCATTCATTCATTCTCCCTAGCCTGTTTTTATTTGTCTACACTAAATTCATCGATCCGATTTGGCCGGCCGGGAAGCTGGAACGAGCGCATGCAATGGCGCCATGTCTCTTCTCCTGCTTCCGCAAGCGCGCATCCTCAGCGGTGGCCAACCATCAGGACAACGACAACGCCGCAACAGAAGTGACGGAGGATGAGGAGGAGACGTCGTTGGCGGCGAGTGAGGGGCCGGTGGTGGTGGAGCTCTTCTCGTCACAGGGCTGCGCCACCTCCCACGAGGCGGAGCTTCTGTTTTCGCGGTTGGGGAGGGGAGACTTCGAGGGGGAGCTGCCGCCGCTCATCCTGCTGGCATTCCACGTGGACTATTGGGATCACATGGGGTGGAAGGACCCCTTCGGCTCGAGCCAATGGACGGTGAGGCAAAAGACGTACGTCGAGGCCTTCCGGCTGGACACCATTTTCACGCCCCACCTCGTCGTCCATGGCCGCGCCCAATGCGTTGCCAATGATCGGGACGCCGTCTTCACCGCCATCAACTCGGTTTCTAGATTCCCACCTCTTTCTTTCCGGGTATGTCTGTATCGAATTTTTACCATAAGAAACATTAATTTCAATCTAATTTTCATATTCAAAATAATTTTGTATTAAAAATATCATTGCTTAAAGTGGCGTTCAATATCAACCATTATTGATCAAGAAAAGTAAATTTAACTAACTTTTTTAGGATGGAGGAAGCATCAATTAGTTATATTAAGGATAGAAATGTAATGTAACAAAATATGTAATCCTATTTTTGGATGTTGAGTATGTTCTAGCTAGTCTTGGTTTGAACAATTTTCTCATGAACAGGCAACGTTCGAGAGGCCAAGAACAGAGACATTGCAGGTGTCATTGACTCGAAGTATAAAGAAAGACGAAAGCGGGGGCAAAGACATCGTCATCATGGTCGCGCTATTCGAGTGCGGTTTGTTGACACGATGCGAGGACGGACAGAATAGAGACACAGTCCTTGCCAACGACTACGTTGTCAGGAGATTGGAGAGGTTGTGTGACGGTGAGGTCAAGGATGTTGTGGCAGAGAACGAGAAGAAGAAGACTGTGTCATCCAGAACGATCAATTTCTCACTCTGGGAAACTTTCAATAGTGGTAAATGTGGGATAGCTATCTTCGTCCAAAACTCATCTCATCAAATTCTAGGTTCACAGAAATTCCAATTGCCACCACACATATGATGCGGCATGAATTCTAATGTACGTACATAGTCATTTGCAATTCAGTTTCCTTACTACTCATGCCCATTGCTTTAATCTCGACCATTTAATTTGTAGCACGACTTCCCCTCCTCTTAAAATTGAAGTGCACTAAAATTCTTATTTTAAAATGTTTTAATCAATTTATTCTTTTAATTGCCCTAAATAAATTTTATTTGAAGAAAAAAACATACTTAGCCTTATTTGGAACTTATTTGTCTATGTTTTCGTATTTCTATGTCCCTGCAACTATGTGGGATAGTTTAACCCGTGCACTTTGTCGTGGTATGCACTCAAAATAATAATCAATACAACAAATATATGTAATATATTGAAGTAAAGTTCGTATCCACAGAGAAATGAATACTTTTCTTTCATATAAATAGTAATAAAGGGGGATTTTAGTTTGATTTGATTTGATTTAATTAACACTAAGATGATGTGATTTAATTAATAGAGATGAAGACTTGACTTTACTTTTTTATCCACTTAATGAAATGTTCGTCGATCCCGGTTATATCTTTAACTATCTTCCTCTCGAATACTCAATCGAGGAGTATATCCCATTCATCGAGGGTAGTTATTAATAACGAGACGCGTTCATTAATAAAACTTACTACATAATCAATATAGAACACGTGCCGTATATTAACCCGATAGTAGCAATAAAATCAAGATGAAAACGATTGAGATTGATAGCCTCACCACAAGTGGTTTATGTTTAATAAATATAATCAATTCCCCTTTGGTTATTAACAATGAGACGCGTGCATTAACAACCCAAGTTTACTACCGTGAAAAGACCGAATTAAGAACAAGCGTATTAATCGATCGATTCTAGTAATAATTAATATATGAAACAAAACTAGTTGTTCCTTTAAGTAATGCTCAAAATATTAATATGAAATAGGAATAGGAATTAATTAATATTCAAGCTAGGAAGAAGATTAAAGAAAATAACTCACAACTTACAATTCATTAAGCTTCAAAGTAGCAAAACCAAGATGGAAGAGTTTAGCTCCTAATTTGAAGACTAAACATGCTATAAAATATAAAAGAAATACCATTCTAAACTGAGCTTAGAAGTATATGAGAATTGGTTCTTTTAATGCAAAGGAAAAGAGGTATATTTATAGCAAAATAGAGTTGGCAGGGTTATGTACTCGATCCAGTATTGGGGATACTGGACCGAGTATGAGAGGAAATTTCCAGGAAATTGTGAAAAATAGGCATACTCGACCGAGTATTGCCAATACTCGACCGAGTATGACAGGATTTTCATCAAATATTCAGCCACGTTCTTTTGCTCCCAGATTTGATTTTGACCAGCGTATCAAAATCTTCATTTGATCTTCTCCCTTTTGCACATTCTTTGGTCTTTGAGATCCATCCTTTGATTCTTGGGATAATTTTGACATGTCTTAAGCTCATAATAATCCTAATCTAAATAAATTACAAATATATAATGAAAATAAAATATTACATCAATAGTGTGTAATTTCCACAACTAAAACTAATAAAACTAGTTAAAAATACAAACATACATAATAGGAAATTCACACCATCACCCCACTTGCAATATTCCTCATCCTCATCTATTGAGAAGACAATTAAAGTCAAATCCTAGTAATTTTATCAAGGCTTCAATACGTTTTTATGATCCCAAATACATTTTTCTTGTTTTATGATCCGGCACTAGATATTGGAGAATGAGCAGAGCCCTTTGAGGAAAAACCTTTACATTAGCAAAACTTTTACTAGAGTGATTGAAGTAAAAATGGTAAGGGGAATAATTACAAGAGGATATTGTGGGATATACATATCAACTATTAATTACAAATATCTAAATATGGCTAGAGATCACATCTAAATTAAATATGGTAAGCTATTACACCCTGTAGCCGCAGTAGGAGAAGGGCAAATGTTGAGACTATCACGAAAGCGAAGAAATAATTGCCGAGAAAGTCCTTTAGTAAAGATGTCAGCATATTTATACTCGGCAGGAATATGAAGAACTCGAATGTCTCCCAGATGAACTCGTTCCCGGACAAAGTGAATGTCAATCTCAATATGCTTCATGCGTTGATGTTGGACAAAGTTGCTCGAGAGAAATACGGTACTGATGTTATCACAATAGACAATAGTGGCATGCCCAAGAAGGAGATCAAGGTCGACAAGGAGATTGCGGAGCCAACAGGATTCAGCAACATCATTAGCAACTCCTATATGTATTAAGCTTCAACACTAGAGCGGGAGACTGTAGATTGTCGTTTAGAAGGTCATGAGATGATATTATCACCAGGGAAAATACAGAAATCGGGTGTGGATCATCAAGAATCAGGGCAGTCGGCACATTCAGCATCAGAGTAAGTAGTGAGTCCGGAGATAAGGCCGAAAGAGTTGAATAGGCCATGTTCAATTGTACCTATCAAGTAACATAATATCCATTTGAGTGATTGAAAGTGAGGTGTTCGTGGATCATGCATGAAGAGGCTCACTTGTTGGACAACATAAGAGATGTCAGGTCGAGTGAAGGTCAAATACTGCAGAGCTCCAGTAAGACTGGGATATAGAGTGGGATCAACTGGAGAGGAGTCGGTGGAGGCACTAAGTTTGGCAGTGGTGTCAACAGGTGTTGCTGCAGGTTTGCAATTGGTCATAGCAGCACAAACAAGTATTTCTTAAGCATAGAGAGATTGTAACAGAAACAGATTAGGTGTAGAGCGGATGTTAGTCAAACCAAGGAAATGATGCAAAGATCCAATTTGGGTCACAAAGATCTCTCTCTCTCTCTTCATCATAGTAATAAACCGATGGAGAAGCTCATCTGATCAAGCAGTGAGAAGGCTTTCATCCACATATAGAAAGAGATACGCAGTGTCGGAGCCAGTGTTATACACAAACTAAGAGGAGTCACATTTGTTGCCTTGAAAATCACAACATGTGATGAATGTAGCAAATCTTTGAAACCATGCTCTAGGTGCTTACTTAAGACCATATCGAGAATTGCGTAATAGCAGACATGGTTTGGGCGAGCTGGATCAGTAAATCCCGGGGACTGATGCATTTAATCTGTCTCAGATAAGTCCCCGGAGAAATGCATTCTTAACATCCACCTAGTGAATGGGACATGAACGAGATGCCGCAATAGTGAGCACAGTACGAATTGTGGTAGGTTTAACTACAGGACTAAAAGTATCAAAAAAGTCAATGCCCACCTATTAAGATTTTCCATTTGCTACCAGTCGAGCATTATAACTGACGTGCACTTTGTCGTGCGTGCACTCAAAATAAATCGATACTAACACTTATACGTAGTATAGGTGAAGTAGAGTTCGTATCCACAAGGAAAGGAATAACTTTCTTTTTATGTAAATAGTAAATAAAGGGGGGTTTTGATTGTTGAGTGATTTAATTAAATTAAACACGAAGATGAACGAGTTATATGGGATTAAATTCAAGAATAAAAGGGACTTGGCCTTGCTACTTTCCACTTGTTGATATATTTTAGTCGATCATTGTTATATCTATAACTTATCCCCTCTCGAATACTCAATCGCGGAGTATCTCCAATTCATCGAGGGTAGTTATTAACAACGACCGTTCATTAATAACTCTTACTATTTATCAAATATAGAACAACGCCGTATACCGATATAATAGTAGCATTTAACCTCTTTAACTCCTTGATGAAATCAATTAAGATTGATAACCTCAACACAACGGTTTCGGTTTAACCAACAAAATTAATCCCTCTTAGGTTTATTAACCACGACCGTGCATTAATAAACCGAAGTTACTTACTTGTGAAACCATCAACGTTTAACCATCGGTTCGTTGATCGTTTCTAGTAATAATCAATGTCGGAACGTTAACTAATCGTCACTTAGCCACCCTCCAACATTAATATAGAATGAGATTAAGGGAAGAATTAATAATCAAGAGGAGAAAGTAAGAAAATAACTCACAACTTTAATAATCAACAAGCTTCAAGAGCAAAACCAAGAAATGGAAGTTTAGCTCCTCATTTGGAGACTAAACATGCTAAAAGAAATATAGAGAAATGCTATTCTAAACTTAGCTTAAGAGTATAAAGGAATTGGTATCTAAAAGTGAAGGAAAGGAGGTGTATTTATAGGCCTTTTTGAGGTGCAGGTCGGGGTACTCGATCAAGTATATACATATACTCGATCGAGTATGTGTAGAACTTCGAATTCGATCCATACTCGATCGATATTCGGGTATAATTCATAGCTATACCCGATCGAGTATGTCGGTGTACCCGATCGGGTATAGACACTCGATTGTGGTAAAATCTTCCCTGCATGTTCCTTTGTTTTCGGATCGGATCCGATTTGAAATTTCAACAAGATACTCGATCGAGTATAGGTAATACTCGACTGAGTATAGACCAAAATCAGGATCTTCCTTTTTTGTCTTGTGATTTTGCACCTTCTTTCCACTTTTGGGGTTCACCAACTATCCTTTGAGTGATGGTAGACCTGTTTGAGCTCAGAATAAACCTAATCTAAACATTTTACAAGAATTTAACAAACTAAACTATTACACCAAAAGTGTGTAATTTCCGAAATGCTAAACTACAAAAAGTAACTAAAAAAGCAAACATAAACACGGAAATTACACGTGTATCAAACTCCCCCACACACAGTTCTTTACTCGGCCTCGAGTAAAGTCAAATGTTCACAAGTGTCAAGTCTTCCAGAGTTCCAACAATGTTACAAAATAAAAACACAAAGAGCACCAAGGATAAAATATGAGTTTTAATGCTCAAATTACAAATATCATCTTGGGCTTTATGGTCTTCTAGTGTTCATCTTCTCCTCCTCTTCTCCTTTTTCTTCTTCTTCTTCTTCCAAGAGATCAAATGAGTTCCTGCACACAGAAAAATATTTCTCTCATATCTCTCATTTTGCCTAGGAGCCTTTTCAGGTTTTCATCCTAGCATCTCTTTTAATTTTTCCATCCTTTCCAACTCACTC